CACCAGATTCTTACTGCGCACCCTCGGGATGAGTGGGAATTTGTCCTGGACCTCCTCGTCCACAGCCCAGGCTCAGTCAGATGTCCCGTGTTCTAGCCCCCGCTAGACAGACGGGCCCTCGTTAGGCCTTGGTCTCCTCACTAGTCAGACCAGGATCCTTTTTTTTTTTTTTTTTAATTTTTTTGACATTTATTTATTTTTTAGAGACAGAGAGAGATAGAGCATGAGTGGGGAAGAGCAGAGAGAGAGAGAGGGAGACACAGAATCTGTAGCAGGCTCCAGGCTCTGAGCTGTCAGCACAGAGCCTGATGTGGGGCTCGAACTCACGGACCATAAGATCATGACCTGAGCCGAGGTCAGAAGCTCAACTGACTGAGCCACCCAGGCACCCCCAGACCAGGATCCTTTTATCGCTGACACTTCTGGACTCAAAAGTCTACCCTCTCCCTCACGTGCGTGTGCAGGTGCATTTGCATGCGTGTACGTGCACACAGGCACCTGTGGGTGTGTGCCTGCGCAGGGGTGCAGGTGGAAAGGGCCACACCCCTCCCCGTCTCCCGAGGTGCCTGCACCCACCTCCTCCCAGCCTGGGGCTCCCCCTCAGGGTCTCACCTACCGCACCCCTCCCTGGAGTCAGCCTCCACCTCGGAAAACACAGACCAGGGGAGGCGCCGGCAGCACGGAAGTCAAAGCCAGTCACTGGAAGATGGGCCTGTTTATTTGCATGGCACGCGTTTATCTCTGACTGTTCCACCCCCCCCCGCGAGCGAACCCCAGAGTTGTCAATTGGTCCTGCCGTCGCGAGAGGCCAGATTGGCGGTGCGCACATTCACAGAAGCCCAATATAGACTTCCAATTATCTTTTAATTTCCCTCCTGTCTTCATTTGTTCCTTTCACTTTTCTCCAAACAGACTCGGTGCGGGCAGGGGAGAGAGAGCTGTAATTGGTGGAGTTTGAAGCCAGCTCGCGGGAGCGTGGTGTTCGCCCGCAGGGTGCGATGAGACCTCAGGACAAAGCGGGACCGCTCTCTCCCCACCGCCCTGCAGGGCCTCTTAGAGGCCCCAAGCCCTTGTTCTTCTGTCTTCCGGTCTTCTGACTCTCTGCAATAACTATATCCTCTTATTTTCTGTCGTCCTGCAGCTGAGGCCCTGCTGAGCGGAGGGTGAACTCCTAGAGGCGGCAAAGGACTCCTGGAGGCACCTTTCGTATGCAAACGAACCGGTCCAGGACTCAGCCACAACACCTCCTTTATCAGACTCTCGCCAGGCTCGGTGCACCGGGGCCATACTCCCCTGTCCCGATTACCCCAGGGCCAGGCATGAGGCAAATAAAGACGGCCCGCGGCCCCCTGACATTATTCACACTGTCTCGTCCACTCCTTCCCTTGAAAACCACAGTGACGCTCCTATTCCGTCCTCTTGCTCCGCCTGCCTCCTTGCTGAGCCTGGTGCCTCCCCACGTGGCCCTGCATGGTGTGGGCTGGGGGACCCTCTTGGGGACCGGGAGGAGCAAGTGTCTTTTCTGTGGCACGTGTCTCCCAGAATGGACAGCAGGAAGCCTCATTTCCTGCACCGTCTCACTGCTGCCCTCAAACAGGGGAAAGTCACAGGAAATGCCACGCCAGGAGTCAAATCAGTGCCACCTGACACCCCGCCTATGCACACACGGCCTGCACCTGCCCGACACCCCAGCCTGCAAGTCTCTGTGCACCATCACGGCTGTCGTAACCCTGTACCCTCAGACCTGCTACCTCTCTCCCCTCGGCCTTCCCTGTTCAGCATCTTCTTCCCGAGCCAGCAGTCCGCCAAGGTCCCCCGGGGCCAAGGGCGTCTCTGTAACCTAGGTCACTGCACCAGCTCGAAGCCTGGTACACGGTGAGCACCTGGTGGATATTTGTTCCATCAGTCAGTCTACACGCCGCCCCCCCCCCCCCCCCCCCCTAAAAAAAGCCCCAGGCGAGGCACCGGGTGTGGGGAGACGTTTTTTTTTTTTTAATGTGTATTTATTTTTGAGAGAGAGAGAGAGACAGCAGGGGAGGGGCAGAGAGAGAGAGGGAGACACAGAATCTGAAGCAGGCTCCAGGCTCCGAGCGGTCAGCACAGAGCCCGACGCGGGGCTTGAACCCACAAACTGCAGGATCATGACCTGAGCCGAAGTAGGACGCTTAACCAGCTGAGCCACCCAGGCGCCCCTCTGGAATACTCTTTGGACCTCTATTCTGATGCCCCTGGCCCCAGCCTCCCTGGCTGTCCCCTGGCCCATTGTACTTTGTCAATGAGTCACCTCATTAATTTTCCTCCATGATATGCTGTGGCTTAATCATACCTCAGGTACACATTCCATCTCACAGGTAAGGATATAAGTCCTCTCAGGGCGGGGACTGTGTCTCCTGCTCCCAGCAGCTCCCCAGCTACCCTCCTGCCACCCTGGAGTACTGCTTTGACCACCCCCAGTGCCCAGGAGCAAGTTTCCAAAGGGAGAGAGTGGTTGTCTGACTCCAAGGGTTTAAGCTGAAGCCACACAGAGAGTGCTCCCGTGTGGTGGAGACTTTATCGGGTGGGAGGCAGCATGCCAAAGGGGCTGACACCCAGCTCACTCAGTGGCATCTGAGAGGACAATGCCAGGCCACAGTATTGTCACCAAAGGGGCAGGCCATCAGTGGTCCCTTCTCCAACGGTAGGAGAGCCCCAAGGCTGCCCCTGCTACTGAAATGGCAGCTGGGCCAGCAGGGGCCCCCAAAGTCCTGGATTCACCGCCGGACAAATCACTTTTATTACCCTTTATACCTGGTCTTTCCCTTCCCAGAGGGAGACGAATGAACCGTGCAGCTAGACAGACCCAGTTTTAACTCAAGACTCTGCCGCTCGCAATCTACGTGACATGGGCACATCCCTCTGAGGCTCGGTTTCCTCACCTGTAGAACGAGGGTGATGATTGCACTTTCCCGTCCAGATTCCCCGGGGGAGACGAAATGGTTTTGCTTGTGCCGAGCACCCAGGGCCCGAGCACCCCGTGTTCTGTTACTCACCCTGATGAAACAAGTGGCTCACGCAAAGAAGAATTCTCTGTAGCCAAGTGGCAAAGCTGAGTGACTTTCCATTCCTAGCCCCGCGGAGGCCTCCTGAGATGATTGCCAAAACTGGGGACCTCCTGGGAGGTCCCCTAAACCTGCCAAACCAGAAAGTCTGGGGAGTATAGCTTGGAAATGTGCATTTCTGAATTTTTTTGAGGCTTATTTATTTTTGAGAGACAGAGAGAGAGAGAGAGAGAGCGTGAGCACGGGAGGGGCAGAGAGAGAGGGAGACACAGAATCCGAAGCAGGCTCCAGGCTCTGAGCTGTCCGCACAGAACCCCATGTGGGGCTCGAACTTGGAATGGCAAGATTGTGACCTGAACCGAAGTCAGACACTGAACTGACTGAGCCACCCAGGCGCCCCCAGAAAAGTGCATTCCCGATGAGCACCCCAGTGGCTCCCATGCCTGTGACGTTCAGAATCACGATTTTGACCGCGAGGGAGAGAAAGCGGGTCCCTGCTGCTGGTCACCGGTGGAACCGCCCGCGGAGCCTGACTCCTGGGGAACCACACCTGGTGGGTGAACTCAGGTAGGTAAAACTCTGGACTCTGGAAACAGGGATACAAGTCCCTACTTACAAGCCAATTGACATGATCTTAGAGCTGCCATAAAATGGGGGTGGGTGGGGCGGGGGACAAGTGCATCTCTCCCCAACGGTGTGGGCATCGGAGGAGACTCTTCTGGACTGCCCACCTCCGTTCTCTCCGTGGCACGCTGGCAGGTGTCCACGACTGTGCCCGGCCCGTACGGGTCAGCGGAACAGGGTGCACTTTGACCCACGGCCTGTGTGATAAAGGCCAAAGGAGACACGCAGAAGAACAAGAGACCTAAAGAAAGGAAAGACGACCTCAGAGCAAGGCATGTGAGGCGCGGCCTTGGACCCGACTCCGAAGGGCTGGAGGGGTGAGGACCCGCGAGGATGAAGGAGGCCGTCCTGAGCCCCAGCCAGGAGCCTGGCGCTCGAGGCGGCGGACAGATGAGCTTGAAGGGTAAGTTTATTTACTTCTTTTGAGGGAGACTGAGACAGCACAAGTGGGGCAGGAGCGGAGAGCGACGGAGAGGAAGAGGGTCTCAGGCAGGCTCCGCACCGTCAGCATGGAGCCCGACTCAGGGCTCGAACTCCCAAAACTGTGAGATCACGACCTGAGCTGAAACCAAGAGCCGGACGCTTAACGGACTGAGCCGCCCAGGCGCCCCTTTTCTCATCTGTTAAACTGGGACCCACAGCACTGGTGAGGACCTCGGCCCCTCACCTGTTTTCAAGCGCAAGGATATGCCCTTGATCGTTAGATCAAGGTTAGTTGCCTCGATCTGCCTCGATCTAACTAACACCCTGTACCTTCCCCATCTGCTCTCAGGAAGGCCCAGACGGAGGGCGGAGGCATTCAAAGCCAGATCCGGTGGCTTGGTCGCAGTCCCTGGCCTAGCCTTCTCTGCTGCTAACTGCGGGCCTCCCCGCGGGGACAAGCAGACCCCAACGGGAAGGGAACCAGCAGGGAGGATCTCGTGCCACACCTGCCGTGGCTCCACCTGTCTCACAACCCACCACACCCAACACTCCTAGCCCTACATACAATAACCAACCCCGGGCGCTTCCGGGCATCAGGTGACTGTTTGGTCAAGAGCTTCCTCCCTATTTGTGTACCTGCTGGACACTCCTAACATCTTCCAGCTGCTGCTGGCTCGGGTGGCCGATCACAAGCTCAGGCCCCGGGGCACAACCCCCACCCCCGCCCCCAGGGAAAGCGTCGAAGGATCCGCCAGCCCCGAGCCCCAGTGGCCACCCGCTGCCCGCTCAAGGTTACCTTGCTCCAACTCCTCCAGTGGCCGGCTGGAGCCAGCCCAGAGCCCCCTCCGGGTCAGCCCAGCTCCCGCAGGAACCAGGACAATCATTAATCGGATTCTTGACATTCTTTGGCCCCAGGTCGGCTTGGGAACCATGCTCCCCGGAAGAGGAGGAGCACAGTCCCAGGACTGGCATTTGGACATGCAGCTGGCAGGCAAGGTGGTGCTGTCGGCCGCCGCGCTGCTCCTGGTGACCGCAGCCTACAGGCTGTACAGGTTGAGGCCCGCCCGGGCCCCGCTGGGGGACAGGAACTCCAAGGCCGAGGAGAAGGCCGAGGGCTCCGGGCAGCCGGCGGACCCGGGGGCTGTTCCTGGGGCACCACACCGGGCTCTGAGACGCCGGAGGGGAAGCCAGGGGGCCGGAGCGCCGCTGGGCTGTGACCGGGAAAGTCAGGGGGGCTCCCGAGTCCCGGCAACAGGACGCTCTCCCGAAGTCGCAGAAGCCCAAGAGGCTCGGGAGCGCGAGAAGAAGGGCGCCGGTGTGGAAGCGGGTGGGCAGGGCCTTGTCTCTGAGCTGGCACCCCCTCGCTGCAGTGGCCAGGAAGCCGGAACAGCTGTTGGCGGTAAGCCCGAGCCGCCCCACCACCCCACTGTGGGCGATGAATTCCAAAGCTCCCCACTTGGCCTCGCTGCGGCAGAGGGGAGCAGGGTGGGCCGGGCGCCCACTCCATGGCGGGACGGCGGACCCCCGGGACAGCCGGGGCTCGGGGAGCAGGAGTCCCCCGCCACGAGCCTGATGGCCCACACGGAAGGCGAGAGTGACACGAACAGGAGCTGGGTCTTTCCTCGCAACAGGGGGGTCCACGGGGAAGAGGCCGGGGCCCTTCAGGCGGCCGTGGACATGGGCCTGACCCTGCACCAGCGGGAGGGAGCCGCCAGTGCCTCTTATACCTACTCGTCTGTGTCCCGGGTTCGCGTGGAGGAGAACTTCATTCCTGAGAAGGTGGAGCGGATGGGGCCCAGGCTGAAGGGCAAGGTGTACGATTACTATGTCGAGTCCACTTCCTGGGCCACCTCCAAGGGCCGGCTGGCCCCCAGGACAGCCGTCCCGGCTGAAGCTCCACTCCCCGGGCCCCTGCCAGGCGCCGCCCCGGGAACAGAGGCCGCTTCAGGAGGCCGGGAAGGTGGAGCCGAAACGCCCACCTCCTCCCAGCCGGGGCCGTCGCCCCCCACGCAAGGCTTCGGCAGGAAGGAGAGCCTCGTCCGGATCATGGAGAACCCGGAGCTCCAGCTCCAGCTCGAGGGCTTTGGGGCCCCCGCTCTGTCCTGCCCAGACCAGAGCGCCCCGCCTGGCCACCCCCTTCCCCAGGCTTCTCTTGGGTCCAGCTCGGCCGGAAGCAGCCGGGAGGCCCACGTGCAGCTCGTGGCGGGGACCAACTTCTTCCACCTCCCGCTGGCCCCCGGCTCAGCGCCAGACGTGCACCTGGATCTGGGCAACTGCTACCAGGTGCTGACCTTGGCCAAGAAGCAGAAGCTGGAGGCGCTGAAGGAAGCGGCCTACAAGGTGATGAGCGACAACTACCTCCAGGTCCTGCGCAGCCCGGACATCTACGGGTGCCTGAGCGGGACGGAGCGGGAGCTGATCCTCCGGCGCCGCCTGCGGGGCCGCGAGCGCCTGGTGGTGGCGGACGTGTGCCCCCAGGAGGGCTCCGGCCGTCTCTGCTACTACGACGAGGCGCAGGACGCCTGGCACCCGCTGGCCCGCCTGCCCCCCGAGGCGGTGTCCCGAGGCTGTGCGCTCTGCAGCCTCTTCAATTACCTCTTCGTGGCGTCCGGTTGCCGGGGGCCCGGGCACGAGCCCTCCAACCGCGTCTTCTGCTACAACCCGCTGACCGGCATCTGGAGCGAGGTGTGCCCGCTGAACCAGGCCCGGCCGCACTGCCGGCTGGTGGCCCTGGACGGCCACCTGTACGCCATCGGCGGCGAGTGCCTGAACACGGTGGAACGCTATGACCCGCGCCTGGACCGCTGGACCTTTGCGCCGCCGCTCCCCAGCGACTCCTTCGCCCTGGCGCACACGGCCACGGCGTGTGCGGGCGACGTCTACGTCACGGGCGGCACCCTGCGCTACCTGCTGCTCCGCTTCTCGGCCCGGGAGCAGCGCTGGCGGGCCGGCCCCACGGGGGGCGGCAAGGACCGCACGGCCGAGATGGTGGCCGTCAACGGCTTCCTCTACCGTTTTGATCTCGACCGCCGCCTGGGCATCAGCGTCCACCGCTGCAGCGCCAGCGCCCGCCTCTGGTACGAGTGCGCCACCTACCGCACCCCGTACCCGGACGCCTTCCAGTGCGCCCCGGTGGGCGACCTCATCTACTGCGTGGGGCGCTGGCGCTCGCTCTGCTTCCTGGCCGACCACATCTCGCCCAGGTTTGTGCCCAAGGAGCCACGGAGCTTCCCCTCCCCGCGGGGCACCCTCCTGCCCGCCGTCCTGACCCTGCCCGTCCCCGACGCGCTTCAGACCAGGGTCTAGCTACCCACCCCCGCCCCCCACCCCCCCGCTGGACTTCTGCTGCCAAACTGGAAGCAAAAAGCACCCTGCCCGCCACTCCGTGAGCCATCTCTGGGCCAGCAGGCAGCTCGGGAATTCCACCCGCGTGAGGGGAATGCTAACCCTACCCCCTCCGCTGGCCGGGGCCTCGGATGCGTCTTTGCTGTCCGCGGGGTGCGCAGGCGCCGTGTGAAAATAGAACCAGGGCCCGGCGTTGCTGAGGGCAGCACCGTGTGCGGGGATGAGTGTCACCTTGCTTCAAATCTGAATTCCTGGGGGAAGGGGTATCAGGACCCCGCCAAAGTCCAGGGGCACAGCCTTACTGCAACCACAGTTCAGGTGCCAGCGGACCCCCATAGGGTGGAGGTGGGCCAGCCCTCCTTAAGCCACTAGGCTCCCCTCCTAAACAGAGCCCCTACCTCTAGGGTTCCCAGAAGCACCTGGAACGCTCAAGGAAGGTGTTTCTGGCTGTGCCAGGAGCCCGGGAGAGCCCCAGGGGGCCCAGCCAGAGGAGAGATGGTTGGAGAAGTACGACAGCTGTAGTTGGAGCTGACCGTGAACTCTTGCCCGCAAAGCAAATTGACCATTGCCCACTTCTCATTACCTAGGATTCTGGTATACTCGAAGGAGGAGAAACCTCCAGTTAGCAGCCACTTGAAAACCTACACCTTGTACTGGTCTGCTAAGAACACCAGTGATTGCCACATATGGGGTCTCAGAAGAGGGGGGAGAAGATGTGATCTGAGGGCCACCGTCCTCCCGGGCCCCTGCTTCGGCCCGTCGCTGGCTGGCCGCTGACTCCCTCCCCAGATCTCAGAGCCTGCACAAGACTTCATCCAATCAACACAGCCCTGACATCAGGGGTGGGGGGCGAGAGAAGTCACTCCCAGGCACCCCCACAGGGCTGGGGAGGGACAATGGCACAATTTGCTCTACCTGTGCCATGTGATCACCTGGTGTGCCTGGTTAGATAGGAGACTCGGGGGGGGGGGGCGGTCCGTGATGGAGCTGAGGAACCAGAAAATGCTAGTGGGGCATCAGGACACTGGGATCTCCTCCCACATCAGGGGTGGTAAATTTGCAAAGAGCAGAGACCCTCCAACCTCAGGAAGTTGCCCGTTCTTCCTGGAGGGAAGAGAGAGAGACTGGTCCAATCTATTGCCACAGCCCTGTTCCCTGGATGAGGATGATGCATGCACAGACAGAGGCGGGTGATGCTCTCTGTGCCATCCGGGAGCCAGGGCAGCTGGGACCACTTCTAAAGTGACAAGCAGCCTGGAGGAAAGAGGTAGAGATGGGGTGCCCCAGGGCAGGCCTGACAAGCAGGGAGCTAAGAATGCTTTGGACTTCAGTGTTCCTACCTTGAAAATAGGAAGGACCAGCCATGGCCTTCTCTGGCCAGAGAAACGAGAACACTTAGAGAAAGTTCTCCCCAAGGCCCCCTGGGGGGTCTGGGCAGCAGCTTGTGTTCACCGCAGCTGCTGGGCTAAGCTGGGGTCTTCCTGGAAAAGGCAGGGTTAGAGCAAGGAGTAACAGGGAGGTTGGCATGGAGATGAGAACTTTTATTGGGCCGCTCGAAGCCATCCTCCCCGTTCCAGGGCCTGGAAGGCGAGGCTGCCTGGTATTTATTCCTAAGTTGGAGGTGGGGAGAGGAAAGGGAGTCGGGGCTATGGCCGGAGCCTGGTGACCCCCCCACCCCCCCGCCGAGGCCTTGCTCAAGCTCAGAGCATGAGCCTCCAAGAGACCCTTGGTGGGGAAGCAGGGGTAAACTCAGCAACACGACTACTGACGGCAGCATTGGCATCACGATGCCAGGCTGTGGTTTCCTTGGGAGGTGGACGGGCTCTGGCAGCTGAGGGCGGGTGGAACCAGATCCAGCCCCCAAGGGCAGGCCTCCATCGAGGAGCCAGCTGATGACTAGACCACAACCAAGCAGGGGGACTATTGGGGGAGGCTTCAAACTGAGGGGTAGCTCAGGATCCCTCCGGAACCCTTTCAGAGCCCCCACTGCATACACATGGCTGGGACTAGGGAGTCCCATCCAGAGACAGGGCAGGAGAGTTTGTTCCAGGCCCAGGGATGGTGGGTGTGGTCTTCATGATGAGTGCAGCGCTGAGATCCCACCTGCCTCCCTGTGGTCCCTTGCAGACATCACTAATCGACTGCCTTATCTTTTCCCACTGAGCCTCAGAACCAGTTCAACCCAGGGCCCTCAGCCGTCATCACTGATAGACTAGAGCCGGTGTGTTCCTCGTCGCTGGCCTGGGCTCCAGAACTGGCTTTAGGGAAGTGAGTGGTCAGGGCCATTATGGGAGACAAGGTAGTTCAGGTAGACCACAGAGACCACCTGGGGCCATGGCAGTCAGGATTCACCGACAGAACGTTCAGGCTGCGCACTGCTCCAGGCACTGTGCTGGGGATGCAGCAGGTCCCTGCCCTAACTGAGCCCGCTTTCCGGTGAAGGAAAACAGGCCGTTTTTAAAAATAAATGTATAGAAAGGGGTGCCTGCGTGGCTCAGTCGGTTAAGCATCCGACTCTTGGTTTCGGCTCAGGTCATGATCTCGAGGTTCATGGGTTTGAGCCTGGCACTGGGTTCTGTGATGACACTGCAGAGCCTGCTTAGGATTCTCTCTCTCTCTCTCTCTCTCTCTCTCTCTCCCTCCCTCCCTCTTTCTCTGCCCCTCCCCCCTTTCGCAAAATAAGTAAACTTAAAAAATAAAAAAATAAATTTGAAAAATATTAGTACACAAACAAATGACAAGCACCCATGCTGCTCACGTGCTGGGAAGGCAGAGAAGGCAGCGAATAGTGTGATCAAGTCTCCCTGATAAGGAGACAGGGAGCAGAGCCCTGGATGGAAATCTGAGACGTGCACCGACCAGGGCTGGCTCAGGGCCGGGGAGGGAGGGGGCTGGGGGGGGGTAGGGGGAGAGGGGAGGGGGGCGGCTCGTCACCCGGCCAGGGAGGGCAGGACTGCCTCCAGGGAGCACCGCCCCGGGGCGTGAAGAGAGCGCCTGTCCAGCTGTTGGGCTGTAACCATTCACACGAGGGAGACGATCCTGTGTGGCCAAGGTTGACCAAAGAGGCTCTTTGCGCATGGTATGCTACGTCCCCAGGAGAGAAGCGGGGTTCACGCATTTCAGAGTCCGGATCACACAGTGATGCCCTGTCTGGGCGTGTGGCTGGTGTCAGCCCGCCTGTCATACTCCGTGGGGTCAGAGTCTAGGAATTCCACTTGACCTTCTTTAATAGCCTCGTCTGTCGACCTCTGGCCCTCAGCCTCACAGGGACCCATGTGTCATTTGGCTACTCGTGAAGGGTTTCTTTTTGAAGACAAAACAAAAAAACAACCCCTTGAAGTTGGGGTTACATTCTTCGTTAGGCCACCCACGGCATTATAGGAAAGAAACTTGGAAGACAAAGGACAAAAAGATCTCACCAGTTTCAACACCCGGAGACAACCCCCCCGCCCTCTGGTGCGCGTCCCTCCGGCCTGTCTCTTCGGAGCAGAATTTCCGTTTGGCTTGATTGTCGCCTAGGTGTGATTCTGCTGAATGTGCAATTCAGCTGCTTCGTTTTTCCACTTAGCTTTTTAGAATACGCATTTCCCGTGTTGCTACAAACCCTCGGTAAACGCTGTTTCAGTAGCCGCACAGTGCCCCAAGGAGTGGCCGTACCACGCTTTATTTAAACAGTCCCCCCTCCTGTCGGGCCCGTAGATTTTTTTTCCCCCTGTTGGTTTCTTTTTCCATCGTAAATAAACGGTCCTTTGTTTTCTCGTTCCTCTCTGTCTGGAGCCTCCATCAATATTTACAAGAGGAGTTCAGTCTAGGGCTCGTCTGGAAAACACAGTTGCTGAAGCGAGTGGAGGCCACAGCATTTGCCTAGGGCTGTGGGGCTCTGACTATAGGGCCCCGGGGCTGCCTTTGGAAACGACCCCCTCCCGGGAAGGCAAGGCTGTCTGGAGGGGCCACCCCAGGTGCCTTCTGGCATTCCTGGAGCCGAGAGGTAAGGTAGGGGCCATATTTATAGAGCTCCGCTCTGAGCATACCAGGCACTGGACTAGACGCTTTGTGCACATCACTTCGTTGATCCTGACAACAACCCCATTTTACAGGGGAGGAGACTGAGGCTCACACAGTTGAAGGAAACTCACCTTCGTGGCAAAGTTCAAAGACCCTCAGTTTCCTTCAAAGTACACTTGAACCTGGCCGCCTCACTCTCTGCACAATGCTCTTTCCATTCCCCTTATCTTGGGGCACGAGGGGTGGGGGGCGGACTTGGCTTCAGCCAATCCCCCTCGGCTTCCTCCGACCCCTCCCCCACTCACACCCAACACGCATGCTCTATCCTCAGACTTTCAACTCAAAGACATTATGCTTAAACTCTGGGATCCTCGATGTCTCTATCCGGAAAATGGGTCTGCCACCGCCAGCCTCGAGACGATGTCGTGCGAACTAGCAAGACAACGGATGTAAAGCACCGGGCCCAGGGACTGCTCCAGAGTAGGTCTGGGAAGGACCATCGCTTTCTGCAGGGGCCGCTCAGAGGAGGAGACCCACTCCCCTTTGAGCCTCCTGGCCCCAGGGGAAGGTTGTCTGACATTTAAGCTGCAGGAGCCCAGTCTGGTTTGACAAGAATTGGCGGGTTGGGGGAGGGCTGGGACGGGGTCCAGTTATTCATATTGTACACCATCCAGGGTTCTGAGAATCTGAGCCTGTGCTCTCCTCCACAGTAAGTGGCTTGCTGATTTGGGTGTCCCCGGGCTCAAAGCATTAAGCGTTTTCCCAGTGCATTGCTCGGCGCAGAGGAGTTTCACGAGCCGAGCCGCTCAGAGCTTTCCGGAAACCTGGAGAAGGTGCAACGGGGAGGGGGCTCCTTTCTTTTACAGATGGGGGTGAGAGACCCTCGGAACCACCGGACCGCTCTGCACTGTGTCTGGCCTGCAGATATTTAGGGGGGGTGACAGGTGCCCCTCACTTCCCGCCTTTGCCATCCTTACCTGGAAGAGCCTTATGGCCCCAGGGCTGCCCTGAAGTCCTCTGAAGCTGTGGCTGCGGCCAGGAGGGGCCTCTGAGGCGAATGTGAGGCTCGGCGGAGGCAGGGGATGGAACGCGAGGGCGGAGGTGCCTGCAGGGGGAGATTAGGAGCGAGGCTCTCGGAGCAGCTACAAGAAAGGACAGCTGGAGGGCAATCTCTACAAACAGCTCTCTGGAAAGTGGGATGTGGGTCCAAATAAAACAGCCATCA